CTGACGCACCTGACGGGTTCCTTTCTTCTCTAAGGGAGGTCTCACGCACCTGACGGGTTCCTTTCTTCTCTAAGGGAGGTCTCAGCCATCCTGAACATCTGGTCTGTGTAGTGCTGTCCTCCGTTAGCTGAGACCATCTCATCTATCTTAGACAGGAGGGTTCTGACCTGCTCTCTGCTTCTCTTGGTTCTGTTGTCAAACACACAGTATCTACCTCCACACATGGAGACCAGCTTAGAAACATGAGTGCTGGACCGGATCAGGCCCTCAATGGACTGACCTTCTTTGAGGGCGTCTCCATGAGTGAAAAGCACCATGGAGTACTTCAGAGCATCGTCTTCAAAGAGTTTAGGAAGGAGCTCAAACAGCTTGATGTCTGCTTGAGTGAGTCTGCCTACTCTGACCACGATAACGAAGTCATGGACTCCTGGACTCGCCTCGACCACAGACCTCATGATCTGCAGGTACAACTGCTCTGGAGTCAGATGTTTATCAGTGAACCCTGGAGTATCAACCACCGTGACCTCACAGCCCTCCACCGAGGTGGATGCAGAGGTCGTCTCTGTACTGACTGAATTAAACCCAGCAGCTGATTCAAACCTCTCAGATCTCAGGATGGTGTTTCCAGAGGAACTTTTCCAAGCTCCAGGAAGACCGAGCATCACGATCCTCCTCTCTTTGGGAACACCAGCTGGGAGACAGAAACCAGGTTATAATTAATGAACAGTAAATCTCTGTACATGTGCTGTCAGTCAAACAGCTCTAACCAGAATATGAATGTGTTTCTGAATAACAGAAGCTGGTCTCAAACACTTTAACATCTAACACCATCAGCTGGTAAGATAGCATTGGACCGAACAGTACCTGGTGAATCAGGTTGATCCTCAGGTCTCAGGTGTTCAGACTTCAGCAGCAGTTTTCTGACTTGTTCTTCATCGTCAGACTCGTTGTTGAAGAGGTGATGGGCGCCCGAGAACATCTGAACAACATTAGGAAGCTGAGCTTCATCTCCTTCTTCAAAGATGAAATCCTCCAAAGTCTCATCCTCTAAAGCATCTCCTCCAGTGAAGAGGAGGTAACTCTTCTTCATCCCTCTGCCCCCGAGGACTTTCATTGCTGTCTTCAGCGCCTTCTGCTCTTCCTTTGTGAAGCGTCCGACTCTGAGGGTCACCAGAAACAGACAGCGCCTGGAGGACCTCAGGAGATCCTGACAGAAGTCTTCAATCTTCTTCTCTGTTTCCTTGCTGTCTAATATTCCTGGAGTGTCGACCACTGAGATCTGTTTCCCTAACACACTTCCTCTACGCTCAGAGATTTCTGTCGTCACAGACCTGAAAGACAGCTCAGACTGAAACTCTGCTCGTCCCAGGATGGTGTTTCCTGAAGCACTTTTACCAGCTCCTGTTTTACCGAGCAGGACGATGGTGAGATCTGAACGGGTCAAAAACACATTGCATATAAAGCATCAAAAGGGCGTAGCAGAGGCTATTCTAGAGTCAAACACAACAAACTACTGAGTATAAAACAGATACTGTCGACCACACCAGTAACACTCATAGGTAAGCTTCATTCACACCGAGAGAACAGAAAGCTTGGACACGGAGACACCGTCACGAATCTGTTATAAGGACTGATTGGTGCATGCACACCAGGTCCTTTTCAGAACGAGTAGAATCGGTTTTTTCCCCTTAAGTTTTTTGGAACAATGCATCTATTGTATATTTACATATTGTGTGAAAGAACTTTTCTAAAAGAATGCTCGTTTGTCTGTTAAAAGTCCTTCCTGCAAACTAGAACATTCAAACTAAAGATGCTTTATTGAGATCATCATTGCGAAAGGGAATGCAGCAAAATAACCATTTTATTTGGATTACATTGTTTTCGTAATCGTTGCAAGACAAAATCGTAATCGAGATTAAAATATGATTAATTGCACAGCTCTACGCTGAAGGCGTGTCTACCCTGCTCCAGTCTTCCCAAGAAGAACCAGCCTTAGCTCTCTGAAGACTGGGACAGGGAATCAGAGTCATGACACGTTAGGAGATTATCACTTTTATCAGACATTACTAACTTTACTGTTGGCTCAAATGTTGATTTGTATAATAGGGCCTAGGCTTGTTGTCCACTATAAAAAGAACATGGAAATACTCAAGTACTGTACAAGTACCTCAGAATGAACAAAGTTCAAATTAAACTAAAAGTACTTTGTTACTTTACACCACAGTTGGGTGTACTTCCTTCATTTCGTTGCACCTATAGTTCCTGTCCAAGTGGATGTTCTTATATAATATATATCATCGTTAAATGATTTCAACAATATTATTTAAAAGTATCACCTTTCATATTTGTCAACACATTTCAAAATGTGTTTCATGTGGTGCTGTTTGGATAACTAATATAAAGATACCTTAAATCTAAGTCTTCTGACATGAATCCACGAAGGAGCCGTTTTAATCCACAGATGATCACTTCTATCAGAAATCACTTACTTTACACCACAGTTTCGTTGCACCTATAGTTCCTGTCCAAGTGGATTTTCTAATATAATATATATCATCGTTAAATGATTTCAACAATATTATTTAAAAGTATCACTTTTCATATTTATCTTGTTTCAAAATGTTTTCCATGTGGTGCTGTTTGGAAAGCTAATAGAAAAAGACCTTCTAATAAATGAGTCTTCTGACATGATGTTTTAATTGTTATTGTAGTTCTTTAGAACATTACAAAGCATTGTTTTAATATTTAAATCATACAGACAATACAAGTTTACTTTAAAATAAATATTTGTTTCTAATCATTTAAAGGTGGTGTAGGTAAGTTTGAGAAAGCAGCTCCAGTGCGCTAGAATTAGAAAATACACAGCCAGAAAAAATCTGCCACTTCCTCACAGAGCCCCTCCTCCAACACACACGAACGCGCACATGACCAATGAGGGCAGAGATCAGTTTGTGCACAGATGGAAGGCTGACAGGCAGGTAGGCCATCCAGTTACTTTAGCCGGCTCAGATGATTGGTCGTGCTTTTTACAGCGCCACGGCTTCCACAGATGAGATTTCTTCATGGATTTTTTGTCAAAGCACTTCAGATATTTATTGCTATCGGGATGTTGAGAGCATTCCATGGAATATAACAACAAGTCGAGCCGGTTTCTCAAACTTACCTACCCCCCCTTTAAGTTAA